CTTTTCTGTATCTTTATCACATCTTTCAAATACTGACACATCCTAGCACTACAGATCATGATCTAATTTTTATCTATCATCTCATTCATCTATTCTGCATTTTCTCTTCTTTACGCTCTTTTTTTTCGCTTTGTTCAGATTGGCAGATACAAAGCCCCTTTCCACCAGTTAAGGATCTCATATGGTACCAATAAGGGGAAGAATTACACTGAGGAGGAGGATCGCTTTCTCATCTGTATGCTCCACAAGCTGGGCTTTGATAAAGAAAATGTGTATGATGAGTTGAGACAGTGCATCCGGAACTCGCCCCAGTTCCGATTCGACTGGTTTCTCAAGTCCAGAACTGCCATGGTACGTAGCCTCGCGCGCTCCTTGCTCCGCGAGGCTCCCCCAAGACAAGGCAGCTTTAGCAGGTCATTCTCACCTATGTACGCACGCACATGTGTAACATACATTGATTTTTATAAAGCCTTTTCCACAAATGTAACAAATTGCAAGTACAGTAAACTACAAAGTCTTTCAGGAGAAGATTTTTAAATTCCAAGGTAGTTTTTCAGAACCAACAGCTGTTTTAATAAAGCAAACATCTGCAATCAAATCCAATCCTGCTAGGCCAGCCAGTAACTACCACGGAACATTTCTGGATTTCACTGGTATTTCACTGTCTAGTTTTTGCATGGTGAAATACAGTAACTTATCATAGACATTTCTAATCTTCCGATATGATTTTTTAAGCAGCTGCCTAACTGATCGAATGTGTCCTGCAATTTAGGAGCTGCAGAGAAGATGCAATACTTTAATTACCCTGATTGAAAGAGAAAACATGGAATTGGAAGAAAAGGAAAAAGCAGAAAAGAAGAAACGTGGACCAAAACCCTCATCGGTAAGATTTGATAAGGCATTTCTGTGCTAAAGCTCATTTAAGACAAGCTACTTTTAGTAATCTGTCTGGAAAAAGCAATGCATTACATTATTTGGGAAAAACTTACAGGGCAAGAGTTACAAGCATCTTAAGCCTTTTTACAGCCTGACTTGATGCTATACATTTTCTCTCTTCATCATGCTTTTCCAGAGTTGGAAAAATACAGTAGCAGTGCTGTACTGATACTGAGGGGGATGTGCATATTTACCGTGCTGCCTAGTTGCAGTTTATCACCTGCTAATAAGTGCCTGGGTACATCATACCATGTGCTGTGACTGCAAACACGCTACTTGGCAGCCTTCTTCCTGCCCCAAGTAACTTACTGAACACCTTCCCTTGCAGGCACAGAAGCGCAAGATGGATGGTACTGCTGATGGTCGTGGAAGAAAAAAGAAGCTAAAGCTGTGAATGGAGAGTTTTTGTAATCACTAAATTTAAAAAGTAGTTCTTTAATTTACGGGTCTTCATAAGATGTACTGTATAATGCTCAACTATTATGTCATTAAAGGACATGGGGTTCATCTGTTTACTGAACTAGAAACATAGTACTTAATGTAGGTTCACTTTTTTAAATGCAACAGCTGTGCTGAATTTTTTTTACCATTAACACTTGAAGTAATAAATAGGCTTCATTTATTAATAAGGGTTCACTTGACTTTTTTTCCTACATGTTTCCACTGGAATACCCATTCATTTCCTCAGCCCAAACCATTTTCACCTACGGGAAAACTGTTTTTC